CTGCATCTTCATCCCACGGCAGATGCCGACAGTCCAGTGACGTGATCCTTCCCACCAGCGCAGACTCGGCCTCAGAGCCCGCTTACCCATTTAGCCCGTCTGCTGCCCATCCAGCGCTAGAGCTCCCACCGTCCTTTCTGCCCGACCTCTTCCCCTCCATTCCTCTGACCGTGAGGGCTATGCTTAGCCATCAGGTCTCTGTCCAAATGTCACCTCCTCTGTGACAAACCCCGGCAAAGCACCTAATAAAACGCATAGTAGCTTACAAGGTGAATGGCATGGAATAAATAAATAACAAATAAATGGCTTCATAACCCCAGGCAGCTGTCTAACCCGATGGTTAAAGAGGAGGGTTGGGAGGCAAATGAGCCAGCCTTAAATGCTAGCTCCATAGTTAATAGCCGTGTGACCTGAGACAGGTCATTCGGCTTCCCTATCGGCAAGTGCAGACAGCAGAGCATTGGGAAGAGCGGCTCGGTTCTTCCCACGGTGTCTAGCACATGGCAAAGACTTGGAAATAGGGGGTGGCTGTAGCTGTGCCATAGCTGTTTGTCTCCCACGAACCACCTTAAAGAGAGGGACTAGGTCTCCATCAGTGAGATTCCAGATTTGGGGAAGAAACGGGTCCAAAGAGGCTCAGCCAATCTTTGCTTCATTTAACTGAAAACAATACATGTCACAGGAGAGATGCATGCAGAAGGCTTGGGAAGGCAGAGGTCAGAGAGGCAATTTCTGATTGTGGAAGGAAGACGCGCTCACAGACTTGTATATATTTGGGGTCGGGGTCAGGAAGGGGCCGGTCTGAACCGGCTGCTGAAGCTTAGGGAGGACTTCAGCAGGGAGACGCGGAAGGTGGTAGGAGGTTAGGTTACAGGCTGATGGGCTGGAGGGACTGACTGGGACAGTGTAGGAAGTAGCTTTTCTAGGTCAAAGGAACTGAATCAGGATGAACTAAGAGTGTGAGTGTCGGCCTCAACCCACTAAGACACAGCTGAGCCATGTGTGTTTGCAAGAGAAGTGACTGGGAGTCTGCAGCCTTAGCCAATGTGGCTTCCTGACAGGCCACCTGGGAAGCTATGGCCCATGGGGCCAAGTGAAAATTCTGAGCTAGCTCCACACCACCTCGTCCCCCACCCCATGTGGCAGCAGGGGTTAGGGCATCAGTGTGCTGTCATAGCGTGAGCCTCACTGGAACGCAACGTAAGGATCTTGCCTCATCACGGTCCACAGGAAACCAGAAAAGTATAGGTACTTAATGATAGCATCCAGTGGATTTAGGCTATGGAGGAGACTGAAGGGATAATGGCAGGCAATATCACTGTCTCAGACTAGGTGGTCACTGGAGTGGGCATTTGAGCAGAGGTGTGAAGGACGTGAAGAAGCAAGTTACACAGAGACCTGGGAGCTGAGCATTTTAGGAGGCAACACTAACTCAAATGTCCCAGAGTGGAACTGACTGTGGTTTCGTTAGGGAGAAGCAAGCAGGCTCTTGTGGCTGGCTGAAACCAGGCTGGGAGATCAAGCCAGCAAATGCTACACAACAGCATGGCTTGATCCTGAGCAACGGGGCGAGGGGGCTTAGAGGGGGAATGAGGTCAGCCGCACTGCACAGGCTTCCGGGGGAGAGAGAGAGAGGGCAAGGGTGACACTGGAAAGCCGGCACTAGGCTGTGGCCAGCGTCCAGGAGGGTGGTGACTTACACAATGGTGCCAGAGGTCCACGTGGCAAGGAGAGACGGAACACCTGACATACAGTGCTGCAGCTGTGGCTATCCGAGCTGGCAGGCTCCCTCCTTAGGGTGTGACCCAGAGAAGGGCTGAGGGTGGCCCAGGTTGGACTGAACGTCATCCCTCCAAACCACCCCACCCCCATGTTTTCAGTGAGTTCAGGGATGAGTCAGGCGTATGCAGGACTTAGAGGATAATGGCCTTCCTTCCTCCCCCCAAGGAAACAGACAACAGAAACTTGAACCACAGCTGTTGCTTGCCCAACCTCCTATGGCTCCATGGACATAACATAGCAAGGACAGACATGCAGAAGGGCATGTGGCAAAGTCTTGGCACAATGCATCTGAAAGCTGTTGGCTTTTGATCTGGGCTGGGCTTTCTCAGCAGGGCTGGATGAAAACTGTTGTTCACCAAAAGACAGACCGGTGGCCCAGCACCTGTCCCAGGGCACTCAGTCCTACCTAGGACATAAGCTAAGCAGGTGGCAGAGGGCACATCAACCATTCTCCTGGAAAAGCTGGGCACAGGGGAGCTTGAGTCTTTTCATAAGCAACAAAAGAAGATGAAGCCAGGTAGGGGTACAGGGCAGGACCATATAGGATATGAGATGCTTTGCTCAGAAAACCTTTCCCAAGCCCTGTCTCAATGCGGCTGCAGTTTATAAAGGGGCCCGAGACCTACCAGGTGTCCCTGAGCTCAGCTGGGGTCTCCTGATACTCTCTTATGTTTCACCTGACTGCTGTCTAGCAACAGAGCAAGTGCTATGAATGAGGCTTCAGTCCAGCCCCTGCCAGCCCACAGCCCCATCCAGATCAAAGGTCGCAGCCTGTCCCACGGCCTGCTGCTCTCACTCAGGTGACTTCTCTTTTAAGGAGAGAGGGGAACCAGCCTCCTTTCTGTGAATCACAGCTACAAGTGCAGAGCTAGTTTGAGAGTGCAAGAAGCTCCCGCCTCCATCTTCAGTGATTTTTAACTCCTTAGAAAGGTTTTCCTCTGTGCTAGCTGCGATTTCATTAGAACAGCTCTCACACCAAAACTAATGTTCTCAAGAAGGCAGTCAGAAATTTCCCACTGTGCCATTCCTCGGCCTTGCAAACAGGGCAAGGAACAACAGAAGAAAGAAAAGGAGGCTCCCATTTTCAGTGCACCCCGAGAACAAGCCAGTTTATAAATGATTTCATTTCAAGATGTCCCGCTTGCAATCTGGTCATTTTTCAATGAGAAATATATACATTTGCTAAACACGAAATGGAGTCATTAAGCCTGATGAAGTCAGAGGCAAAGCAAAACTAGCTGTGTGTGCCCTGTGCTCCCTTCTCCTTGACAGATTTGGGAGCCCTGTGGAAGGCACTCCAGACAGGTGCTAGCATGGGGCCATGCCTAGAGGAGGGTGGCATGTCCATACGCACAGAGCTCCCATATTCCAGGCATCTAATTACCCAGCTCTTCCCACAATGCACACACACACACACACACACACACACACACACACACACACACACACACACACACAAATACTATGAAGCCTGCCTACAGTTAATAGTATTTAGTGGCACTGGCTCTCTAGTTTTAATACTGTGCTGTGATTACAGAATGCAGTATCAATGGGAGAAACTAGATCATGGCACAAAGAACTTGTTCTACCATTTTTAAAAGCAATTTCTTGTGAGTCTACAATTAGAGTCAAATAAAGAGTTCTCAAGATGCCAACTGTTTAATGTATGCAGCAAGAACTGCAAACCTATATGTTGGCCACACACATGAGGTTGGGAGAGAGGGACACACACACACACACACACACACACACACACACACATGCTTTTTTATTATACAAGAAGGCACTTTGAGACTTACCAAGGAACCACCACAGCCAGTTTTCTCAGAAATCACAGCCCAAAGGTGAGAAAGAGCATGTCACTAGAGACAGAACATGGACTCATACCATGAGTCACCTTCTCTCATACCAATTCTGAGAAGACTAGGTATGAGGAACTGACTCTGGAAAAGTCTGCTGTCACGGGCTGTAGAATTCCTGCACCTGCCAAGCCAGCTGGGATTTGGGCAATAGTCAAAACAAGATCAAAGTCCCATCCACAGTCCCACCCCCTAGACCAGAGACTGAAATTTGGGAGTGCATCAGAATCCGCTTCAAATGCTGAGTCCACTCTATCTCCAGTCCTAGGTAGATGAGGAAAACTGTGCTTAAAGCAAGAACACTTAGATATTTCACTTGCAAGTGCTCATGGGTGGAAATAATACCAGACCTGGGTGAGGGAGCAGACCTGGCTGACTCCTGCTGCCTGTGAAGAGAAGAAGTAGCAGGTGACCAACACCCCAGAAGCCGGCGTTTCCCCTCCCGCTGGAGAACTTTGGGCCCACTTCTAAGTACGAGGCATCAGTCTCCATCCCTGAAGTGTAGAGAGGCTGAGGAATGACCCAGGAGCCTCTGTGCGGAGCCTGTGTGGGCTGTCGTCACAGGGCATTTAGGATAAAATGCAGAATGCAGACTTGCCCATCAGGGAGGCAGCTTGGTGCTGAGGGCCGGCGACCTGCTAAGCACCCGCAGCTCCAGTCCACATCACTTTGTTCTGAGAGAAGGATCCGTTAGCCATTTGCTAGGGGATGGAAACAGGCTGGACAAGTTCTGGCACACACTCAGAAATGGCCGAGCAGGGTCCACAAGTTGCTACCCTGAGGCACATCCCCCCACCTGGCACAGAGATTGCTTTGGGGTCTCTCTCATCTCCTCCAGGATAAAATGTTATTCTTATAAATAACAGAAGCTATGGGGCTTGCTCGGGAGCCAGTTCTTGCTTCAGCAGCATTATTATTTCTAAGCAGCTCGAAAGCTCTCAAAGGCTCTCTCCTTGATTCCTTTCTGTCTTTCATCTTTTACCCTATTCCCCCTTAATCTTTCTCCTCGCTTTCATTTTTTTTTTTTTATTTTGCTCCTTTTTGTCCCCAAATCCAAAATGACAGACACCATTTTGCTTGTCTTGCTGATGCTAACTTAAGAATTTGCTTCTGGGGCCAAGCAGGGTAGCTCAGTGGGCGAAGGTGCTGGCTGCCAAGCCTAATGACTTAACTTCAAACCCTTTAGACTGACACAATAGAAAGAGAGAAACGGCTCATGCAAAATTCTGCTCTGCTGTCTCCGGGTCACACTCACACACACTCATAATTTATGAAAAGGACTTTGCACCCACTGTCATGCAATGACACCAGTGATCTGAAAACACGGGAATGTGCTCTGCCATGAGGCAAGTGACCTACCACTTTCCAGAGGACACTGTGGGATCCTATTGGCCCAGAGGCTCCAAAGGTAGTCCATGTTCCACTCCAGGCACACCTGATGATCTTTGAAAGGCCGTTCAAAAGGTGGGACCGTCTGCAGCAGGGTGTAATTCTTGGCCACAGCATGCAGCAAATTCTCCTCCCCCCGGACATTCACGCCTCCGCCACTGTGCCTGTGAGTAATCCAGGCTCGGAGAATCACGGTGGACACGGAGATGGGGTGTCTGATGAAGTAGTCGTCCCGGTACACCATAATGCTTGGAAACTTCACATGTACTATCTGTGTCCTGCTGGTGTGGAGGTGCTTCTCATTCCTCCATCTCTTTTTGTACACAGGAATGCTACTTCTGAACTCGGATGACACAACTGCCTCCAAACTGACAACGCAAGGCTGAGAGCATAAATACTCCACGGAGACTTCAGAGACATTGCGCACGCTCCCTTCCAAGGAGGTAAAATAAATAAAGTCTGTGTACATCGTGCTCTGCTCTGCTCTGGGCAGCACCGATGTTGTCAGGGAAGTGTGCCTGCCCAAAGATGGCACAAAATTCTGAAAAGGAGAGAAAAAGTAATACAGAATGTTTTAAAAGTCATCCTATTAACACAGGCGTGAATTGATGTTATTTTCTTGGCATTAAAAACTACAGATCTATGTAAGAGCAACGAATGTGTATAGTAAGAGACGTCAAAAGCACCACCATTATACTGAAGAAAAACCAACACACACATAAAGGAAGACTGGGTCACACCAAACTCTCTCTCCCTAGGCTCACTAACATCTGTTGATCAAAACGTGGCTTTCAAAGCTATGTGGCAATCATTCCTGAGCTAGCTTCCAAGAGATGAGGCTGCTCCCTGGCAAAAGTAATAGCGAAAGGAACCTGTCATCGAATGAAAGAGGTGAGCCAGCCTTAGACATGTACAAACTACTTCAAATGATGGTCAGATATTGCCAATCAAAGGGCTGGAGAAAAGTTGAAAGGGTATCACTAGGAAACATGAAGAGAAGGCCAGCCTGAGTACTTATCTCCTGCAAGTGTGGAGGTTGGACAAGGCTACAAGCCTGATGTCTCTGCTGTTATGCACAGGCAGGATCGGACCACAGCATGATGTAGCTGGTACCAAGAAAGATTCTAGCAGTGCGCCCACTTGTTTGTTTCTTTAAGTACCCAAGTCCTCTCACAGTGTGCATTTCTTCCGGAAATCTGAGGATCTTGGTTACAAAGTCCAGCCAATGTTGTGAGTGTGAGGTAATGAGTTATGACTACCTGAGCCCTTCTTGACTTGACTTTGTGATTCAGGTGTCCAGAGCAAACAAGGTCACTGTGACCACTTCACACCCATTTTGATAGCTATGATTTAGAAGAAAAGAGAAAAAAAGAAAGAACTAGAAGACAAGCATGTGGGGAAACTGGAATCCCTGTGCACTGCAGGTGGCATTGTAAAATGGCACAGCTTCTATGTAAAAACTAAAGCAACTTCTGATTTTAAATTAAAAATGTAAAAACCATGTGATCTGATCCCATGATTGCTCTTCCAAATATACCCGAAAAGGTTGAAAGCAAGAACTTGAGGAGGTAGTTACATGCTGATATTCATAGCCACACTATCTGCAATAGCTAAAAGCAGGTCAAGTATTCATCAGAGATGAGAAGGACGGTGGTCTATATGCACTACAGCGGAGTAGGAATCTGCTAGTCAATCAAATGGATCGATTGTAAAGACACACTAAGTGAAAAAAGCCAAGCACAAAACAGGAAGTACTGTTTGAGACACAGGAGAAGGTAGAGGAGTCAGGGACAACATAGAAGAGGGATTGCCAAGGTCTAGGGAAGGGCTTGAGTGGTTAATGTTAGAGTTTCATTGCAGGGTGATGAGAATGTGCTAGAGACAAGAGCGGTGGCAGCTGGGCACAATGTGACCTTATATAACACTACTGAACTCCTTGCTTCAAAACAGTAAGCTTTATAAATGAATGTTGTACCACAACTTTAAAGAAAATGTCATTTCATTTGCTGGCTGTGACTACTAATGTCTCTAATCCCCCTGCTCAGGAGGCAGAGACAGGAAGATTCTGCAGGTTCGAGACCAGCTTTGTTTACAAAACTAACTCCAGACCAGACAGGGGTACAGGGTGAGACCTCGTCTTAAAAGTGGGGAAGAGGGGTGGCAAGATTGCTCAGTGGGTAGAGGCACTTGCTGCCAAGCATGATGAGCAAAGTTAAATCCCAGAACCCACACACACGCGCGCGCGCACACACACACACACACACACACACACACACACACACACACACACCTGCATACACACAAACAAGACGAATAAATATAATTCTTAAAGTTTTAAAGCTACTTTAAAGAGAAGAGACTCCTTTTTCCTTTCTGGTTTAGAGCTATGGAGAAGCAAAGGTAGATAAGAACTGAAGTCTTGTGTCAGAGAAACACTCCTGTCAATGGTTCAAACAAACAAATAAATAAATAAATACAAGCAAACGTATCCGATGTGCCAATCAAACAGGAAATAAGCCCAATTCAGATCAGCAGCAGAAACACAACTGACTTGGGGTCTAGATCACACTTATGGGAGAAATGAGATGCCATTTGGGCTTTGAGAAAAAGTTCTCCAGGAGACAAAGCCAAAGACAGGCTGAAAGTGGCCTTAACAGCACAATAGGGTCAAGAAGCAAAGGAACTGACTATTCAGGAGAAGGCAGCTTGGCTTGGCCAGAGACAAGAGCAATGGCAGAGATGCAGGCAGGCATGGGAATCTGAGATGATAAAGAGAGAAAGCATTTGGCTGTTTGGCTCGGGGGGAACAGTGAGTGCCAGCCCAGGGCAGGGGCACTTTCCTCCGTAAGCAGACTTCTGTAGGAGGAGTGGTGCTTTCCTTTGGACTCAATGCACAAGGGTTATGGTAACTGTCCAGCTGAAATGTGAGCTAATCATAACTCAGTGATGAGTAAGGCCCCACTCTTGGGAACAGAAAAGCAAAGCAACATAGATGGCATTTCTAACCCATTAGACTCTCAAGGTCGAGGCGAGATTTCAGCGTCCACTGGCTGCAGTGGGGGCAGGCACACCTACTCCTGTGTTCCCAGTGACGGTCATTTCTACAAGGCAATCAGGCAACACCCACCAGAAGTGTAAGCGCAGTCACCGCCAGCCCAGCGCTCCCGCTTGTAGAATTCGTCCTACAAATACACCTGATCTGTGGGAAAGGGTGTAAATACAGGCTTTTCAGGTCATTGTCGTCACAGCGCAAGACAAAACGTCTGCAGCTTAAGTAAAAGAAGCACTTCCAGTCCTGGAGTACTCTACAGCCATGAAAAGACTCACCATCTTCATATTCGGGTGATGGGACAATCTCCAAAGGCTATTTGGGGTTTGGAACTTTTGTTCCTCCTGCTGTCATTTTTTGAGTGGGTTCATAAATATCATCCTGGGTTACAAAGCACACACACATACATGATGTAAAAAACAATCACTTGAAAACACATAGCAACGGTCGTTCCCATGGAAAGTGGAAGGATGTGTGGCTATGCCATTACATTTTTGCATTCTAGATCAGGGAGGAGAGAAATCATCTTAGCGGGAAAAAGCATCAGTTTCCGCAAATGGCAGAAAGGGAATGAAAGTTCTGGCCATTCCTTTACACGAATCTTGGGAAACCTGGGGGGAGATGTCTGTGAGGAATGAGGACAGTTTAAACATTCCACCCCTCTAGGAGAGGATTAATTGTTTTCTGCTCTAATGTATATGGCTAAATTACAGGGAGAAAGCACACATAAAAACCATCTTAGAGTTGAAAGTGGAGCAGGAGCCATCGACAATGGCTGGCCCCTCCTTCACTTCGAAGATGAGGAAACAGTAAGCAAATCTCTGCATCTCTCACATCCCCCATTGGTGGGCTAGCAGAGCTAAAGCAGGAGCTGGGCTCTTCTTCCTTCACCTTCACATACCCACCGACATAATGCCCACCCCAAAGCACTTCATGGCAAGACAGCCTGGGAACTCTGGGCTGCAGCCTCCTTTTGCACAAATAGATGAGCCCGGTGTTGGCTCGTAGGAAGAATGCATTCATTCAGTACTCAAACAGAATTTCCCAAAAGTCGGCAGTCCCTGGTGCCTCTGGACCTGGGCCAGAGCAGCAGGCAGGAGGCATCTTATGCTTGAGTGATACCCCAGATGTTTTCCCATGGAAATCCATGCAAGGAACCTTTAGCTTCCGGAGGCCAGACAAGGCTCGGAGTCCTCGGCCTGCTTTGGTACAGTGTGCGCCACAACGTGTTCTCTTTCGAAAACTGACTCCAGATCACATTCTGTCCATGCCTCTCTGAAAAGCTCACCCAGGCCCAATTTTCCTGCTTTTATTTATTTGTTTGTTTATTATTTATTTATTTATTTATTTATTTTCTAGCCCATTTTCAATGCTGAAAGGAGAGAATTCCCTTTTAAGCAGAAATGCAAGAGAAAAGCCATTTTGTTCCCCTGCAAAGTGTGGTTCCTAATAACCCTGTTCATTATTTTACATCTGATTGCTTGAAAATGCGCCCGTCACACTTTTCTGCGTTAATAAGGGCAGCATGCCACGGCCTGCGTGGAGGTCAGGCTGTGGCTGAGGGAGGTGGAGTCACACCTTTCGCTGTACCTCTCCAGGGCTTTCCTTCCAAATTCTGTTTCCAAGAAAACGTCTGGGTGCTCGTACGGAGATTATTGTATTTTCATCTGCTGCTAGGCCTCGAGTCAGCAAAAGGAAAGGATGCAGATTCAAGACATATGTTCTCCAGCCTGATAGTCAGCGGCAGAGCAGCCACTGTGGCACACTGGAAGTATAAAATTACCCTGAATTTCAAAGCCTTGCTGTTTAACAAAAGGCTACGAAGTGTCTGATTAATGATTTCACATTGATTGCATGTCAAAATGACAATATGTGGATACATCAAATTAAACAAAATGTATTAAAATGAGTCATATCTCTTCTTGTTTGTTTTTTAAATGTGGCGGCCACTGAATAGAAAATAATAGCTGCGGCTTGAACTGTCTATGGGTGGTGCTATTCTAGATCTAAGGTCATCTGACCTTTTCTATTTAAAAAGGGGGGAGGGGGAGGAAGCAAATGGTAAAAACCAATCATCCCTTGGTCTCTGAGAGGCATTGGTTCCCAGACTCCAAATAATACCAGTGTCTGTGGGTGCTCATGTGCCTTATACAGCCCAGGGTAACTGTGTAGAGCAGACCCTTCTGTGTGTACGAGGGCACATGTATGCAAGGTGTGTGTCCGTGCATGTGGATGTGATAGCCAGAGGACAGCCTCCAGCTTAGTTTTGCTCGGTTGATTGGCTTTTGTTGTTGTTTGCTTCTTGGTTTGTTTGTTTTGTTTAGGGGAGGGGTGTTGTTATTGTTTTGAGACAGGGTCTTTCCCTGGCTTGGAACTTGACAAATAAGCTCAGCTAACTGGCCAGCCAGCCCCAGGGATCCTCCTGTCTCCAGCCTCCCCAGGAGTGGGCATAAAAACACTCACCATCACACTCATCACCCTAGCTAGCCTCT